TCCTTTAATTCCATCAACAATCTTCTCAGCATCCTTGTAAGCCAGGTATTGCATTTTACAGATGATTAAACATGTGGATAAAGGTTTGAAGAGTACACGGAGGAATTGTGTGTCAGACAGCATCCTGGACTTAATGATGTCTCCACCATTAAGCAGTTGTGTCATCCCAGGAAAATCGGGGGCTGGGGGAAGCATAGAATTGTTGAGCTAGAAAGAACCTTGAAGACAGTAAATAAAGTTCAATCTTCCTATCTTACAGATAAGAATCGTAAGTCATTTTAGCCTACCCACTGAATTTTCTCATCCATCAAATGGGAAGAACAAAGTCAACCCGGTTGCTTTGCTTTGTTTTGGCTTGTTTTTAACCAGCAAATTTTGAGGACCAAATTCTGTTTGTTGTTGTTAAGTGCTGTTAAGTCAGTTCCAACTGATAGTGACCCTGAGGAGTGGCTGGTGGGTTTGAACCATAGGTGTGAAAATAATCGGAAAATAAGATTAAGCAGATGTAAAATTGTTGTTAAGTACCATGTAAGATTGTTGTTAAGTACCCCATATAGGGTTTCCAAGGCTATACATTTTTACAGGAGCAGAAAGCTTCATCTTTCTTCCACGGAACGTGCTGGTAGTTTTCAACTGCCGACTTTAAGGTTAGTAGCCTGATTCATAACCACTACTTTATCGGAGCTCCTTGATGTAAGATTGTTGTTAAGTGCCGTCTAGTCACTTCCAACTCATAGCAACCCTGTACAGGGTTTCTGAGGCTGTAAATCTTTACGGGAGCAGAAAGCCTCATCTTTCTCCCGCGGAACAGCTGGTCGTTTTGAACTGCTGACCTTGTGGTTCGCAGCCCGATTCATAACCACTATGCTATCGGAGCTCCTTTGAAATATGATTAGGAAAATCCATATTACCTAACAGTGCTATAAAGATTCTATCAAATCCTTCTTCCTCTCCTCCTCTTCCCCTTCACTTACCTGCGAGAAAAGACCCCAGCCCACCGTCCTGGCCATCAAGTGTATTTTCACACTATGTTTACATAGACACGCACACATGTACATACATACTCAGGTACAAAATTGTAACAGCACCAATCATGCCCCTACATGGAAGTTTCTGTCAGATTTCCCAATATTAATTGCTATTTTCAGGCATTTTTCAAACTTAGCAGGTAAAAATACATTTTGATGTGAAACTAGATATAATACATGGTCTCAGCAGGAAAGAAAGTCTCCATTTACAAAAAAAAAAGAAGGCATGCTAGTAGGTCATTTTCAGTCATTTCTAAGAGCTGGTTGCCTTTCTGAATCTTTGAGTAATATAAGTTGTTTTATTTTAAAGTCACTTGTAAAAATGTCTCACAGCTACAGTTGAGGAGAGAATTTTTTTTTTTTAACCTCTATCGATGCTGTAGGATAAGTGCTGGACTGCTAACTTCAAGGTCAGCAATTCAAACCCACCAGCCACTCTGGGGGAGAAAGATGAGGCTTTCTGCTCAGTAAAGATTCACAGCCTTAGCGACCCTAGACAGGGTCCTTGAGTCCGAATCAACTCGATGGCAGTGGGTTTGGTTGTCTGGTTTATTATCTAAGCTGTGGATCATAGATGTTTACAGGGCTCCAGGTTTCTTTGTTGGGTTGATGTTTGAATTTACAAAGCACGCATTTGTTCTTTAGTCCAGATTGTTACTATGCATAAAACATCTCTTTCCTCCTTCAGGCCTACCTGTCTGTCCTTCCCAAACTACCCTGTCTAAAACAGCAGCCTTCTGCAACCACTCTATACCCCCTTTTCCTGCTTTATTTTTTGTTTTTGGCACTTCTCACCACAGATACACTATCTATCCATATTTTCTATTGCCCATAATCTCCAGTTGGTACATAGCTCCATGCCAATGGGATCTTAAACTGTTTAATTCACTGCATTCTCTCTGTACTATAAAAATTATAGCGTTGTTGTTAAGTACCTTGGAGTTGGTTCCAACTCATAGAGACCCTGCACAGGATTTCCAAGGCTGTAAATCTTTACAGGAGCAGAATGCCTCATCTTTCTCCCACAGAACCACTGGTAGTTTTGAACTGCTGACTTTGAGGTTGGCAGCCTGATTCGTAACCATTACACTACGAGAGCTCCTTTAGTCACTCAATAAATATGTGCTGAAAGAATAACTCAATTCAAATGTTGAATAATCTGAAAAGTTAAGTCTTTCCGAACTTGAAGCCCAGGTGCTATGATGGGATTTCAGGGAGCAAACAACATTCTGTGTGAAATACTGTACCCATGAGAATAAGAGTGAGCAATAATTGGAATCTCTACTTACCTCAGCTATGGGCTTTGAAAAGTGTTTTCTTTGAATACAGACATCTTTGAGATGTGGATTAATAATTGTGAGGGGACACAGTATAGCATCCCGTCATTCAACAATCATCTGTGAGCCTTACTGAGTACCAACAGTTACCGCATACTGAACGGTTTTAGAATTCTCAGCACCCTCAGTGGAGCTGGTCATTCTGTCTGCTATAATTCAGAAGAGTGTTTCTTTTGTTAAGTGCTGTTGAATCAGTTCTGACTCACAGAAACCCTGAGGAACAGCTGGTGAGCTTGAACCGCCAACCATGTGGTTCAAACCGACTTTGCAGTCCAGCGAATTAACCCGCAGCGCCACACCAGAACATGCCCTATATTAAGCAACAGAAACCCAATCAAGAAAAAGGACATAGATTTCAAATCAGTCCATCACTTTAGAAAAATAATTTTCAATTTACCAAGGCACAACTTTCTAAGCAGTCATGGCATACGATCATTTTAAATTCAGAATAAACACTCAATTGAATGTAAATTTTTTGCTGATGAGCAGAAATTTGAGAGAATTCATTTTTCCCTAGAGCTGGTACAGAGCTCCATGCCAATGTGATCTTAGAAATTCTACTAAACAACAATGATACTGTTTACATTGTAAACTCAGTTGTTGTTGCCTTGCTAGAATAATCTAGACTCATATATTAAAGGGTGTGTACTTCTGGGAAAAATATGTATGTTTCAGATTGATTTTAAAATGAATATGCTATGCCAATAAAATGTCTTTATTCCTTTTCATTTCCAAGCAACCAACTATTAAATACCGATTACATGTTTAAGCAAATGTTTATTTTCTAACCATTCCTTACCAGTTTCTGAGACACTGCCTTTGCCTGCTGCTTCTCCTCCATCTTTCCCAGTCCTCTTCCCTGGCTTTTCTTCTC